AAATAGGGATACAGGTGGACCCATTGCAACAATGAGATGTACAAGAGGTTATGTCAAAAAATGAACTTTACAACTTTGGCTCGGGTGGGGAGGATGGGAGGGCCGGGGTGGGAAGGGCAAACAAAGGAGGAGGCAACAATGCTTGATAAGAAATGTACTCATTACCTTGCTCATGTAATTGTAACCCTTCACAAAAATCTTATTATTAAAAAAAGTTTTGTCTGGGCTTGTCTTAAACCACCATTCTCTGGATCTCTGCCTCCTGAGTAGATGGGATTACAGGCATGAGCTGCAAGCCTGGCCAAAATTTCTAGTCTTACATGATTAATAAAGTTTAAAATCCAATTAAGTTTTATTTTTATATAGTTTTTGAGAAAGCTAATGAACATATACAAGAGCTCTATTAACTTTTTTAAAGTTCATTTTCTCTGCTTGAAAATATTTAGAGCATGTATGAGGTAATATATATTTAGAAACATCATTGAATGATTAAACACCATAATATGAAATTTTGTACCTTTTTTTTTTTTTTTTTGGTCAGTCGTGGGGCCTGAACTCTGGGCCTGGGCGCTGTCCCTCAGCTCTTCAGCTCAAGGCTAGTGCTCTACCACTTAAGCCACCAGGCCACTTCCTGGCTTTTCTGCTTATGTGGTGCTAAAGAATTGAACCCAGGGCCTCATGCATGCAAGGCAATCGCTCTACCATTGAGCCACCTTCCCAGCCCCAATTTTGTACTTTTTATTTAGTTCTATTACCTACTGGGATGAAATTAAATTTGATAAAATTCTTGAGTTGCACCATATTTTCGGTTATGCTATCATCCTTCTGAATATGCACTAATTTCATACTGGTAAATGTACATCATTGAAAGCATTTAAATTCCTTTACAAAAATAAGATAGGTTTAATTCTTTTCTTTCACCTTCCTAATAAGGAATGACTCACATTGAATGGAATAAAGGTGAATTTCTTACTGTTTTGTGAAGAGTCACTTAACCTCTCTATTTTGATTTGTGTACCTTATCCAAAATTATTACATCCCTTGCTATGTAATGCAGTCGCAATAGAGCTACCACATTCTTACAGCACATGTTGGAGTATTTTTTTGTTTTCCTTAGTTGTACTAGCTCATATTAGCATCAACTCACCATATAATTTTCAAGGTTCAGAAAACTATTACTTTTCTGTGGACAATAACAAAAATTGGGTTACTTTCTGGATTGCAAAAGTAAGACTGACTTTTCTCAGAGACTTGTTATCTGCTAAACTATTTTTTTCATTTACAACCCATTTCCTATAAAGTTAATGCTTATGGGTTTTTTTGGTTGTTGTTAGTGGGGATCTTTGCTTTTTTTTTTTTTTAAGGTAGAAGCATTTTCTTTTCTTCCAGAAGCTTTGTATCCTAGATACAAAGAGTTGATATCATTTAAAGTCACAATAAACATAAAGAATAGCCTTGGCACTGATTTTAATGTTACTTTACAAGAAAGAGTTAATGAATAAGGACAATCAAAATTATAGCCATGGTTGTAATTGCACTTGTGTCAGTATGCATCTGCAATGATACATTAATGACAATTGGTGGAGATGAAGCATTTGGTTTCTTCCTAATGACCTGTATGCATGCATCGTGAGGGTGGGAAAGCAGCAATCAGAGGATCTGATATGTTTTTCCCTCTTAAATAGATATTTAGTAAAAATAGTCCCCAAATACTATTAGCTCCTATATCTACTTTTTTTTCCAAAGATACCTTTGAATTAAATAAATGTAAAAATCTACTTGAAGCATAACATTTTATACAGAATTGGAATGCAATTGAAATTATGAGTATATCTTTTATTTCATAAATCCAAGGGTAGTCTAATTCAATCTTTATTTTAAGGATGGTTTGAAAAATATATGTGTATGCTAGTCAATGAAATACTTCTCTGTCAGGCAGCATTACAGTTGTAAGCAGACTATGTGTAACAAACTTCAGATCGGTCATGTACAGAACTCCTGGCATAAGTGGGCAGCAGATCACCTCATAAGCCCTTCCCATACAAGTACTGTTTTCCATACAAGGCCAGGTTCATTAGATGAAAATTCTGAAACTGTCATTTGGACCAATAGGAGCCCAATGAATGAGAAGAAGGAACTCCTTTGATAGGTCAAGTCACCTCGTGGTAACAGGGCATCCGTTCTGTCAAGTTTCCAAAAACAGATCATCTTTTAGCAGCAGAGAACTTTGATCACAGCGAAGCGTTGACACAAAAATCAATCACATTCTCCTTAGTTCAAGATCAGTATGCAAACGCTCAAAGACAAACGTGAAAAGCCAAGTCACTGACAAGTTTCATCATGTTTTGGTTAGTTTTTCATTTAGAAGCAACTCAGAAAAACAATTAAATAAGATGGCAGTGATGGTCACTGAAACACTTGGATGCCTATTTTTCTGCCCAGAGCTCTCATTTAATATTATATCAGTTTTATTAAGCAAGGACGAAGGGAGAACTAGCTTGAGTGGAAAAATCTTCTCTTTCTTAAACAGCTGAAATAAAACAGCTGTCGAGTACATATAGCCAGGACAACTGGGTAATCAGCTGTCTTCAAGCTTCTGGAAACAGAGGCTACAAATTCCCCTATGATGTAGTTTTAAGGTAAATGATCAAGTTTTCAAGTTTCCAGAAAGATTTTACAAAAAAAAAGAACAAGAAAAAAGAACTATTTGAAATACTTGTAAATGCAACACCTTTCTACATATACACTCTCTCTTGAATTGTATTTGTATAACTTAGAGAGAAATAGAAACTAGGAGAACAAAAATTAGAGTAATTGAAAAATCCCAAATATAATTTCATATTCTCAATATTTCACTAAAATGTTCAATAGAGGTCTTTTTTAAAAAAAATTATTTTCTTCCAAAAGGAAAACAACAAAAAACTCATAAAGCGGTTCATCATTTAGTACATTTCTCAATGGAAAAAAAATACTTCTTTGAAAAATCCCTGGAGTTTCCCTTACTGTTAAAATGTTTCAGTGACCAAATAATGCATCCGTTTAGTTACCTTAATGGCAGAGAGGTCAATTTTTTCTTCCTTGGGTTTGGCTGGGGCAGGAGCGGGTGCTGGGGCAGGGGCTGGGGCAGCAGCAGGTTTCTTCACGTCTTTCTTTGGTGCCATTTTTGTTGAAAAGGATGGGCTTTAAAAAAAAAAAAAGAAGGATCTCCTCCAAAAGAACCTGTCACAATGATACTTGGAAGAGCAGTGGTAGCTTGCTTGATCCACAGCCCAGTGTCTTGAAGGTGGACCCAGAGTGTTAAATGGTATAAGGGCGTGCATATATATTTCACTTTGTGCCTAGTAGAATCTTGACACATGCAGCTCGATTGGACAGTTCACTAGTCAAGGGGGATGGCATTCGGGCTCAGACTATAAATGGAATCTAAAGGGTCAGGGCTTCTTCAATTTTTTTTTAAACTCCTCTTGCCCCCTCCCCCCGACCTCTATATATAAAGGAGAAAGAACTGTGACAAAGCCAGCTTCAGATCTTTTGGTGACAGCAAAGTAGATTGACATACTTCTTTTCTTTGTAGGATTACAGTTCTGTTGAAGCTTTAAATCATTTTTTTCCATGCCTAAGACGCTTTGCTGAAGGATTCAATTTCCACTTGTAATTTTGGCAGGCAGTGTCACCGACTTTCACCCAGCTTCTTCGTTCATGCTCCTCCCATCTTGGCCATCATTTGCAAGAAAATGTTGGTCAGCAAAGAGGTGGTGGTGTTTAAAAATAAAAACAGACGTATAAGGAAAGCCCATCCAGTCTTAAAGTGGCTTCCCTTCTAGGGAACATGAACTCTGGATCTCTCTCTCTCTCTCTCTCTTTCGACCCCCCATTGCAATGAATTCTATGCTGAAGAAGAACAATTCAAAACTATTTCCTATAATTTAATTTCTTGCATTTAATGAAGATCAAGAAGTGGGGATGGATATGATGACAAGAACTAACTTCTTGCAAGATAACTTTTGTAATAGTACAGTCATTTTCAAAGTACACACATCTGTTATCCTTTCAAAAAGTCATAAAATCCATTTATGGCCTAAATTTTTCATCCATGCTAAAGACAAATACATTTTTAGAAAAAAAGAAGATGATTAATGTTTTATAGGTTTGGATGAGCATCTTCATAGATTTCTCTTTTGTTCTTGGCTTTCAGAGATGGCAAGGCTGAACTCATTGAAAAGAATATAATAAAACCAATAGATAGGTCACGACTTCAGAATTGGCAAATTCTAACTAGGCACTGGTAGCTCATGGCTGCAATCCTAGCTACTTAGGAAGTTGAGAATTGGAGTCTTCATGGTTTGAAGCCAGCCTGGGGAGAAAAGTTGATGAGAGTCCATTTCCAAAATAACCATCAAGAAAACTGGTCTAGAATACTGGCTCAAGTGGTAGATCTCTAACAGAGAGTAAGCAAAACAAACTTCAGGTTCTGAACTCGAACCTCCAACTGAAAAATAAGCTCACCAATGAGTATTTCATAACTTTGTAACCTGCAAATATTACCAGAGGAGGGTTACAATTAGTAATCAGCAGGAATTTACAGTCAACCTCACTTCTGTTGCTTCAACTTGTGTGATATTTAGTTAATAAGTACAATAGCTATTAATTAGTGAAACAAATAAGTTGCTAGTTTTGGATTTTTAATATATATTTTTATTGTAAACATACTGTACAGAGAGGTTACAGTTCATGAGGAAGGTAATGAGTATATTTCCTATCAAGCATTGTTACCCCCCCTTTGTTTTTCCCCTACCATCCCTTCCTTTACTACCTCCCCAACTCCTCCCCTCCCCGACCCAAGCTATAAAGTTCGTTTTCAGCAGTGTCTTGTATATCTTATTGTTACAATGGGCCAACTTGTATCTTTATGTCATCATTTTGTTATTTCCCTTCCCCTCCCCTAATGAGAAAAATGTATATACAAAATGCACCAGAATGTATATACAAGGGCACCAGAATCAAATACAGTGACAACAGGGGTTATACCATGGGGGAAGAACATACAAAAGAAACCAAAAAAATCACACAGTACATTATAAGTACTTTAAGAACAACAGCAACAAAGATAAAACTTCTTGTGTTCCTATCTTGGGGTTCATTTCACTTGGCATCATCTAATATGGTCATATGTACATAGCTTTTGACCTTTTCCTGCTTGTCTTAGACATATATTAGTTATTGTAAGTAAGGGAAACCATGGGACCTATGTTTCTTTGAGCCTGGCTTCCTTCACTTAATATGATTTTTTCCAAGTCTTTGCATTTCCTAACTAGTGGGATGATGCCATTCTTTCTGATGGAGGCATAGAACTCATATATATATATATATATATATATATATATATATATATATATATATCACATTTTCTTGATCCATTTAGTTTTGGATTTTTAAAGGATCATATTAACCATATGCAAATATACATACCTATATAGACATACAAATATATTCTAAATACTGAATGTAGATGTGTTGAAGATGGTGATTCATGAGCCACTTTCTTTTGCTCTGTTATAAAAGCAACTGGGTGAAGGCACTGTTCCTCATCATGTTACAACTAAAAGGATTAAAATCCTCATGTAGGGAAAAATTTACAGAAGTTACAGGTGGAGCCAGCATAGTCAGTCTCCTCTTATGTGGTTAATATTTGTCTTTCTGGCTTAAGAAAAAGCCTTTTGGTTAGCTCCCTCTTTGACTTCTTTTCTCCTTCTTCTATCCATTCTCCCTTCCCTTCCTCTTCCCCTTCCCTTTCCCCTTCCCTAGCATTGGGGTTTTAACTCTGAGCCTCAAATGTGTCAGGCAGGTTTTACACTAAGGCACCCTTCAGTCCCTTTTTTGCAGTTGTTATTTAAATATTTTTTCTTGTAAAGATACTGTACAGAGGGGTTACAGTTACATGAGTAAGGTAATGAGTCCATTTCCTATTGAGCATTGTTACCCCCTCCTTTGTTTTTCCCCTACTATCTATCCCTTCCCTCTCCACCTCCCCAACTCCTCCTTCCCCCAACCCCAAAGCTGTAAAGTTTGTTTTTAACATAGTGTCTTGTATGTCTCATTGTTCCAATGGGTCAACCTGTATCCTTGTTTCAGCATTTTGTTATTTCCCTTCCCCTCCCCAAATTAGAAAAATGTAAATAAAAGATGCAGGGCACTGACATCAAATACAGTGACAACACGGGTTACACCACAGGAGAAGAACATACAAAAGAAACAAAAATCACATAGTACATTAAACACAACAGTGACCAAAAAAAACTTCTTGTGTCCCTGTCTTGGGTTTCATTTTGCTTAGCATCATCTTATATGGTTATATGTTCATAGCTTTTGACCTTTTCTACTTGTCTGGTAAGATTATCCTAGACATATACTAGTTATTCCAAATAAGGGAAGCCATGGGGCCTATGTTACTTTGGGTCTCAGTTACTTCTCTTAATATAATTTTTTCCAAGTCTTTCCATTTCCTAACAAATGGGATGGTGTCATTCTTTCAGATGGAAGCATAGAATTCATACGTGTGTGTGTGTGTATATACACACACATAGTGTTTTTTTTTTTTTTTTTTGTCAGTCGTGGGGCTTGAACTCTGGGCCTGGGCGCTGTCCCTCAGCTCTTCAGCTCAAGGTGAGCGCTCTACCACTTGAGCTACAGCGCCACTTCCGGTTTTCTGGTGGTTTATTGGAGATAGGAGTCTCACGGTCTCTCCTGCCTGGGCTGGCTTTGAACTGTGATCCTCAGATCTCAGCCTCCTGAGTAGCTAGGATTATAGGCGTGAGCCACCAGCGCCCGGCTTATTTTTGAAATAGAGTCTTTCTTCCTGTCTAGAACACACCTGGGCTGCAATTTGTCTATTTTAGGTTTTCTGTGACAAGGATGTGTGGCTACACACATTGAGATGGAGTCCCATGGACTCTTCTGCCCAGGCTGTCCTGGATCCCCAAAATGGTTTAGAATGACAGAGACACACCACTGTGCTCAACTATGGGTTGAAAAGGCATCTTGTGAACTTTCCTGTCTGCTAAAACTTAGAGATATTGATTTATATTTAAATTATTAAATAGAGAGCTAAAACATTGGTATGTTTATAATAGAGTCCAGTTTGTCTCCTTAGACTTTTCAAAGATTAGGTTGAGACCTATCCTTTGAAATGTGTGTGTGTGTGGCTGATATGGTACTGTCTAACAAGTGCCAGGCCCTGAGATCAATCCTGAGTACTGCAAAAAAAATGTTCTCTGGATAGGATGGGTCTGGAATAGAGGAGATGTTAAAAACAATGAAACAATGCACTAATATGGGTTCATGGATAACAAATGTACCATATTAATGTAAAATATATGGTCTTACTTAGACAACTGGTCTTAGTGGTCTATCAGCTATTTTGGAGTCATCTGGTACATAGTTAGACAGACACATATACTTTGTGTGTGTTTCTCATTTCCAGTCCATAGCTTCCTGCTTGTATTGGTAATTTTGTGCTGATGTTATAACTATTCAAATGACTCTTCACAGAACAAAGATTCCCCATGCCAAAGAAATTGGTTTTTTAATACACAAGAACACACGAAGCTTTCTTCTTTTTGATCTTTTTTGGTTTGTTAACCACAAAGTGTTCTAAATTTAAAAGGTTATTGGTACAAAAAAATAAAGAAATAAAACATGGAGGGTAACCTGGCAGGAAACTTTAAGGAAAAGAGATTCATAATCTCTCCAGTCAAGATTTTGGTGTTTTGGTCTAGTCGATTAGAGACCCTCTACAAACATTCATAGAACCAAGAGCTTTTCGAACGGTTAGCCCTATTGGACTGAGACATTATTGTGAGCAGAAACTATAATCCTAAAACCATATACCTAACGTGATTTAACTTGGTAGTCAGAATGAGAATGAATTATCTCTGTTGACCCATATATGAGGCTATGGACAAGTCTTACTTGTATAAAGAGTAACAGCTGAGAACTCAGGTTCTCCCTGACAGCTGGCATGCCCCATCCAGATCTTCCAAGTGTTTCTTATGCTTAACTGTACCATTTGCTGCATGAGTTTTATTTTAGATGCTTACTAAAGCACAGAGGAATGGCAGAAAAGGAGCAACTTTACTACCAAAGATGGCCAGGCATATTCTATCTTCTAACCCTACTGTGTTGTTTTTACACATGTTCTGCTTTCCCATGCTAATCTGTTTCCTATTTGATTAAGATAAAATGTTTGTCTTTTATTTGGAAATGTTACATTTGAAAAATGAAGCCACCATTCCACTGCTATATGGACCAGTGAACCTTCATCAC